GCCCCTTTTGTATGTATGCAGGAAAGCTACCAGTGAAACTCAACAAATGTTCTCCAATCAAGTGAATTAAGTGACATCGACATTCTTACAATAGAACGCTTGCGTGTATTTTGCCATCAGCGACCGTAGTTTGTTTTGATCTTGTGCTAACAAGCGCCGATCTCATCTGTATGTGTTGACCACAGTAAACATAGCGTAGCACTCCACCACTACAAAAAGTAATCAGGAGAAATACCCGGCCTACTTGTCTGAATATAGTAGCTGCATGCCAAAGGTGCTTCGTGCTTGAGGCCTTGTCTTAATATTGTCTTCTCATAAGGTCTAAGCTGCAATAGCCCTTCCCCCCCGGTAATTGAACCCCGCGATATGGGGTAGCGAGGTAAACAATGGTCAATTACTTCAGATAGAATCAACATTAACATTGCAAATGCCTATGATGCACACCGAATACAGTTCTTCCACTCTACTGGCCTGAAGTTGGAATAATTAGACATCTTCAGCGTCTGCTCGACCTTTCCACTTTCCTCTTTTTATTTTTTTTCTTGGTGGTTTCCCCCTTCCCTTCGCTCTTCCCCGCCCCGTCCAAGCAAAATCCGTCCGCCGCAGCACCCGCACATGCCCCGAGCCCACTCAACCATCCCCTCAAACTGACTAGCGCTGTCCCTCTCTCTGTGTGTGTGTCTTCTCTTCTCCCTCCCCTCCCGCTTTTTACTTTTTGGGTAGTGTCTTCCCATCATCGTCATCATGGATCAAACTAAGGTGGTCTATTTTAGCTCCAGCGCGATTTTCTCAAAACTACAGTTCTCCTCCTCAAGCTAACAGAGAATCAAGACTAGCCTCTCCGCAAGCTTGGGACTTAGTTTACATTGTTGTCCTGGCAGCCTATCACACTTTCACGACTTACTAGAGCTGGCTTGGTTGATTTTATTCTAGTCGCAGTAGTGAAAGTCCACTACACTAGGCAGGCTCGAGTCGGATAACAGCTGGAGCTTCACTATTATCCTCTTTCGCAAGGTCCCCCTTTGCCAAGGTCACCGTTGCGAAACGCGAATCCCCGCTGGCTTGCTTCTGCCAGGGGGGGGGCGCGTAAGAGGCGTTTGTTCTTGTTAGTGACTTGGTATGGACCTCTTCCCGTCGTGCCTCTCCTTCTCACTCTGTCGTCGGCCCGGTAGGTAATGACAGTACGTTAAACAAACGACAACGAGCTATAGAAAAGCCTCCAGCGTTTCCCCGCCTTCCCTTCTTCCCCCCTTGCAGCCCGAGAGGGGAACTTAGTCTGGTTTGTCGCGCAGACACCTACGTAATATGTTGACGGAAATGATGTGATTACCATGCCTGATTGGTTCAAATCGGTTGGAATGGAAGGATGAAGTAGCTACTAGACACTGCTGCATATCACCCGTACCACAGCATTAGATAGTCGGAAAGGTTGATCTCAACCTTGATGGAAAAGAAAGAAGGTTTTGGATTGACCCAAGATAAACAATAGTTCATGCGATGTTCTTCGGGGAGATCATCTTCTTCCCGCCCCCGACATGGAGAAATCAACCCGACCAGAAACACCAGAAAGTCAAAATTGGGGAAATGAAGCAGGGAAAATGACTAAACTCAATGCACTGGACCGGGTGGACGCAGCGGAGTACTACGGAGTAAGTTCAGGGTCAACCAGTAAACCTACCATGAAATTCAAAAGTACAATTCGTATCTTGCTCAGTCCCGCCTACAGCTACTCCTAGTACCGTAGCTGCTTTCCCTTTGTAGTTGTCCGTGGTTGTCAACCTTGGTCGGGTAAGTCTGTCTCCGTACGATACCTACCTATTTCGCTGTCCGCTGATCAGTGGGTCGGCGTTGATTGACGCCGTGGTTTGGGGTGGAGGTTGGTTTCATCATTTGTCTGGTCTGCGGCCTTCCTGTCCCCCCATGGTTCCACTCCGGCAAAGCTGTCACTTTGCCTGGATAAGCAATTGCAAAAGAGAGAGAGAGAGAGAGAGAGAGAGAAGGAAAGGGGGGCGGGGGGATGAAGCGAAACGGAGGAGGGTGAGAGGTGGATGTTTATTCCATGACGATCCCAGTCCAGTTTAAGAAGGTGGTGACAATCTTGGTTCATAGCATGGTCTCATCAATAGTCAAGGTAAGGCCAGCTACTCCGTATGCGGTTATTGTGGGGGTCGTAGAACTATCGCGGAAGTGCTAAATAAACAATTGACAGACTCAAAGTATGATCTGCCATGTGCGCTCAGGAACGCGGACATGTCAAAAGGAAAACCCACAGCTGACGGATGGCTTCTTTTTCAGAGCTTCCTTGGACATGTGACCGGTAACTTACCTTCTCATCTACGTTGTCACTGCACGAACTGCCGCAAGTCTTGCGGAGACTATTTTTTTTTTACTTATTTCTCCCCCTCAATTTGGTGAAACTGTCACCTCGGTCGCCAGTTCCGTTTGTGAAAGCAGGCAGAACTTCTTCTCCGAGTTTGAGCGCCCTTTGCATGGAATCCAGAATCCCTGAAGGGTAATCTGAGTTCGGATCGCTCATGCATCCCCCTCGGACCCATAAAGCTCTTCATTAATAATTTCTCCCCAGTGCTGTGGACACGTGCGCGCAACATGAGTCGGCGTCTCTGTTGTACGAAGCTGCGATTTTCAAAAGCATGATCTGAAGGTTCCGGGGAGAGAATACAGCACTGGAAAAACCGTGACACCATCGAAAGCTTGGTCCATGCGACCGTGATTACGGGCCTGGCCTTGGGCACAGCTTGCGGCTCATCGCACCTGTTATGGGATGCCTGTACTCCGTATATCTCTCGTCGAGGCGGGTGATATTTCGAGGATGCCTGATACGTCGCGCGAACCCGCCTCATTTGGACAAGCGCCTGTCTGGCCTTCCTCGTCTCTTCTAGACAAGTGATTGCTCTGCTAGCGGAAGATCTTACCAAAACTATGGGACCGTGGAGCAGAGCAGCCTGAGGGCGGATCTTGCCTATCGATCGATCGCTCCAACTATCGGTCCTTCCTTTGGGAAGTGGGGTTGGTGCCAATCCCTGTGAACTCCCCATGTCGTTGGGTGACTAAACTATCCATCCTGACTGGTGAGCTCAAGATGATGAGACCGGCTGGGCCTACAAGGATATTTTGAGCAGGCTGACGTTTAGTCGAGTCGCAGTCGATGGCAAGACATCTTGGCTTTCTCTTTGCGAGCTGAATCCTCCGGTCCCGAAGCTCATATGAGTCTACTTCATGGACCACCGTGACCGAATCTATCCTCCACCAAGGTCTTCATCGCTCCACATCAATCTGATTAACAAACTTGGAGGCGCGCGCGTGTCTGTATGTATGTGTGTGTGTGTGTGTGTGTGTGTACTGCAGCTCAGCTTTCCACACTTTGAGATCCCACTTCTCGAGGTTTCACCTCCTCAGATCCGCTTTCCAATTCGGTGATGACGGACCGAAGACAGGCATCTGCCGCCCGAGCGTTTGGTGTATCCTGACCATGTCCCGAGCTGTCAGGCCCCAGACCCCTGCAGTGCGACCGTCATGAGATGTAATCGGCGGTGACCGGAGCGACGAAAGCCGGCGGTGGCGGATGAAGCATCTGTGCAATGGGGCTGGGACAATGGAAGATTTGAGGAATATGGCCCTTCAGATGCACCAGGGTTGCCGCAGTTGGATCTCGATCGGCCCGGAGACTGGGACAAGGGGCAACTTCGGCAGCCACAAGGGCATTACAACTGTGAATATTTCAACTGCCTCTTGTCAAAAGTGACCTTCATCCAATCGTTGCAACACTGTCTTGTCGCTTCCACAGGAAGTGTCTTGGTTTCTGTATGACTTACACTGACTAGAGGGACTCGCTCATGATGACCGCCGAATAACTTCCGTTTGCCATTCTAGCCCTTCAAGTAGATGGAATTACGAATACCCTATTTAGGGGATATCCCAACAGATAGCCGAGACAACTAATATGACACAAAAACACCGCCACTGGACGAGTGCTCGTCTGCCAGACATGGGAAAATTTCAGACATGAGACAGGTCGGTCACAGGTCGGTCACTGTCACAACCAGCTCCACCTTAGCCGGGGCTGAGGTTATCTGTATTGGCGTGCAGCGGCAGCCCTTCAGTAGACAAGTCTGGAGAAGGTGAGAACTAGACCGGGAAGATGGGGAGGGGGAAAAAAGCAAAAAGCAAAAGTTTTCAGGTTGACTCCGCTGAGATATCTAGTCTATGGTGATTTTTGAGCGCTGGAGCCTTCGTGTCTGATCCAAGAGGACCATCCTGGTTTCGCGGACCTCATTGGCTGGGAAATGGCTTTCTCGTCTTGCGTTTTCGACTTAGACTCTCCTGGCAATCAGCCAGGACCAGACCATGCCGTGCTGTCTGGTGTTGGGGGTGGTGTCTGGTGGTGTCTACTGCGGTCTGCTGTCGGTGGCTGTCCTGAGATCTGGCGGTGAAAATGTAAATGTGACAATAAAGTACTGTAATAAGCAGAGAACAACAATTGGAAAACTGTAGGCGGAAGCAACAATACATTCCATTGTACTTTATTTTATTTTACTAGATTTTACTTTACTTCATTTTATTCCATTTAATTTCATTCCGTTTCAGTCTTTTCACTGACACTTACTGAATCCTCCATGTCATTGCTTCCTACCTCTCTCTGTTGACCTCCGCCTCCAATGACGAGTTTTTCCCTGACTTGTTACTTTTTGATATATCCATCCATCACAGTCGATCATGCGTGACATATCATCCCCCCTTGTCCTTCCTGAACCTGACACATCTTCTTCCCTTTTCCCAGTGCCCACACCCCCTCTCCTCAAGCCTCTCAGCATGTTATCCACTCACACTTCTCTATTTCGAAGTACAAGAGACAGCCTTGGTCTCCAGCAATCAGAGAAAGATAACCCTTCCTTCATTCGTCAGCGGATGCATCCGTGCCTCTCGTTTATCCTCGCTGAGCGGATCTGACTTGCTCACTTCCGAGCTCCATCCCCATCTCCATGTCCATGGTATTTTTAGGTGTCCCTCGCACTAGCGATCTGCTGCTGCTCCTGCTACTACTAACGTTACTTGGTCTTTCGCGTGATTCTCTTCCTCTTTCTGCCTCCTTCCTTGAATCCGCCGTCTCATTCGCACCTCGATTTTGCCGAAGCCGGTTACTTCTGCGTCAGTTTCGGTCTCAACATCTCAGCTGTCTCTGGGTGGTGGAACGCCCTCCATGTAGGCAATCGATCGACCCTCCTCCGGCCCTTTGCTCGTATCGCTTTAAAATCGACGAAGGTGCAGTCACTCCGCTGGATCCCCCCGGTGCGAATCAGTGCTTCTTAAGCAGTCCGACCTCACTCGCTCATCTGTGCGACCGAAGCTTCCTGGAACCTAGAACGGTAAGCAGGCTCACCTTGAGCACCTTCCAGCACCTATTTCTACGGCGAAGTCTCTAGGTTATTTCGACCTGATACTGATCACTGGTCACCATCTCCTGGATCAACAGAGCTTAACTCTATTATCACTTTCCCGCTGGGTTCCGAGCTTTGTGCGCGGAGCCTGTCTGGGAACCAACCGGACGCAGCAATCCCGTGTGACTGGTCCCCTTGGTCCCCTCAAGTACCGACGGATCGATCTATACAACTATAATCGGAAGCCGTGACGGTGCTCCAATCACCACGAATGCACGATAACATGCCTGCACCAACGTCCTCGCGCGACAAAGGGCGAACGTCAAAGCAGGGAAGGTCGGATGAGGAGTTCGTCTTGTTCCTCCAGGGAGTAGGTTCCTCGACCGTGCTCGCTGTCTTCGTGTCTTGCTTATCTCTCCTGTGAACCAGATCCCAGCGCATTGCCGCTGGCAGGAGCTCAAAGACCTGGTCCGCCAAACAGCCCTACATATCCGACAGGCTGTAGTATACGATGACCAGCATGGATTTCCAACCGGCCTAGGCCAGATCATCGTTAAGAACGAGGACGAAGCGTGGCGAACATATCGTGCGTTGAGCCTTTTCCATTGCCATCGAAGCCGTGTGACCGGTCAATAAACGTGCATGGACTGACACCGCGTTTCTCCAGAGAGGCTATCCACGACCGGCTGGGAGGGCCAAAGCCTCGTTGTGACACTAGCTCGGACCAGCTCCCCTACACGCCCGGTTGCTGGCCCGACCAAGAGTCCCACGTGTTTGGTTCCTGCTAATTATATTGCGGGCTACTCAACGCCGCCGAGGGTCACGCAGAACATGGCCGTTCCTCCTTCCCCAATATCTCCTGAGTAAGTGAAAATAGCTAGGGTAGGCTGAATCTGACTTGGTTTGTCGGCTGACACCGAACAGACCCGCCATCTCCACGAGTCCAACGTATCCGAATTCCGAATATGGCCCGGTGATTGACCTCATAAGTATACCTCATCATCATCAGCCCTTTCTGCCTGTTTTCGCCGATCCAGTCACTCAGCACGCCATTCCTGCTATACCACAGTCCCCCGCCCCTCTCCGGCACAATTTCAGGGATGCTTTCGCGATACCCATCCTCCCCTCCTACCCATTACCCGCTGTTCAGCCATTCGTCGAAGGCCCCATAAGCACGCGATTTGGCACCACCGCCGGACGACAAACCAATTTCCCCCGTAAACCTATCCACAACTACCATTCCGACAATGTGAACTTCACCTCGCAGGCCTATCACCAGCCCAGCAGCTCCGCGGGTCCCCCACACTTCTCACCACGTCGTACTATCTTTGTGCAAAACCTCAGCCCCGCAACGAGTGGCCTGGCACTGCGTGACCTCTTCCAGGCCTCAGGGGTCGCAATCGAGCAATGCGAGGTGCCGCTGGACACGGAATCTGGACGCTGCAGAGGCTTCGCGCGGGTCACCTTCCGAACTGCCGAGGAAGCCAAACGCACCATCGCCCTATACAACGGCTGCACCTTCCTGGGGGCCAGGATCCGCGTGAAAATCGACAGGAGTATGCTTCAGAACACATCAAATCCCCCGCTTGACCCCGTCAATTTCACCAAAACTAGCACCAATACTAGCATAAGGAATCACAACCCCCTCCGCCAAAGCAACATGCAAGTCAAACCCCCGACAAGTGCCTCTAAGGACCACCGCCGTGGCCCCCCAACGGAAGATGCATCACGCAGCGAAGCCACAGCCCCAACAACCTCGAGGGATACCTCACCTCCAGCGTCCCCTTCGTCTTCCACTTCCACGGCCGCAAAACAGACCGACCGCTGTGGCCCACTGGTGGTCAACGGGTCTGGAACTGGACGCAGAGCTGTGGCGACCTAGTATCGCTCACTTAGGAAAGGTATTTGGTCCTACCTAGCCAGCACCTCCCCCCTATTCACCTTTTCATTCGTGGTCTTGGAACCGTGAAAGAATTGTCCGTTCGCGTGCCCATGAAATCCGACTGACAATTGAAAGAGTGGAATGGGACGGACCCATTCCCTTTGGCGGTCCTTCTGACTCTAATGTAGATTTTGGTTCACGGCTTGGAGGAGAGCGCCACATGTCTGTTGCATGTAACCTTTTTGTTTTCATGTTGGGGTTCTTCCAGTGTATTGTTTTCCATCTGTTATTATCATGGGGGGTGGGTAGATCAGTATAAGTAACCTAGATAGGTAGGGACGAAGGGGCTTCGAGGCGTTATGAGTTCGGACTTGGGCTGCTTATTAGAGATGGTATTTTTTTTTTCTTTTTTTTTTTTCTTGACTATCTTTCTTGGAATATAGGGGGTTTGCGCGATAGAAAAAGACTAATAGAAATATGTTCATCTCACCCATTGTTGCTGCGAGTTTGGATCAACTAACCGGTTTCCCTTATGTTAAGGAACAACTTGAATCTATATGGAATAGCATTATTTCCCTCGTTTTACTCAAGGATGTGTCATATCATCTATCAAATCTAATTCTGTGGGTCAAACCCACCCTGGCTGTCCTCAACATCAGGAAGTGAGTTGGAGGAAACACAAGGATCACATGAGAATTCATCCCGCATGCGTTGTAAGGGAATAACTCCTCCATGTTACCATCATAATCATCATCGTCATCATCAACAATAGAAAAAAACAAATCATCGTTTCGTGGTCCCTTCATCATAGGATTATACTCCAACCAAACCACAATCAATCCAGTTATCAGTTTCATCAGGAGGCGCGCCTCGTCATCAGTCAATCAGTCAGTCAGTCAATCAGTCAAGCGATCAGTTCATGTCAAAATCATATCAAATGCGGAGCATCAAGCGCACAAAACACCAAAATCGAAGCGAGAATAGTACATTCAATACAGGTTAGTATCGATTTAGTAATCGGATGACAAATGCATACCGGAACAGGGTAACAAACACACATGCAGGTGGCGGGGCAACGAGCGATGAGGTAGGAAGACGCGCGGGAAAAAAAGGTTATCAGAGAAAAGGATAAAAGTACAGACGGAAAGTAATGTATTCTTCCCATCGACTCCTTTTGCAGGATGTAAATGCAGGATTGGTGAAAACAAACAAGCAAGTAAACAAAAATGGTCGTTTCATCTCGTTGGAACTCATGGCAGCAGGTATCATATGTGTTTGGATAAGGTAGGTTAGGTTAGGTTGAGAGAGGTATCGTATGTTTCTCGGGGAGGTGGGATAGGAGGGGTGAGAAGGCGGTGGGTTAGCTAATGCATCCATTCTCGAGTCCGCGATAGGGCTCATTCGGGAGCATCTGAAGCTGTGCCTGGCTAGGGGCAAGGCGAATAAGCAAAGCGGGCAAGCGCAGGAGCTTCATTTAGCGTGGTTGATTAGTTCGGCGTAGAGCGGTTCGGGAATCTTGCGGACCAGCAAGACGGTCAAGGCTATGATCTCCTTGGCGTCGAGAGGAGGAAAGGAGCGGAGGACTTTGTTGGGACTGTCATGTGGGTGATCTGGATTAGTTCGATGGGTCTTATCAGGTAAGGGGGCAGAGGGAGATGATGTGTTTCATTGGTTTAGGGTGAGTTCTTTTTTCCCGCTCGTGTTGTGGTGTCTCAAGATGTGATGTTATGATGAGGTCATGATCAATAAACATACCTTGGACTCTCGAGAATCATATCTCTCATTCGGATCAATTGCGCAACGATGCATAAAATATTCAGATGTGGTCCGTAGGCGAATAGGAAGTCCCAGAGATGCAGAACCTCCGGTAGGGGCGGCGTGCACGCACACAGGGTCAACACAGAGGGGAATGCATACAACTCAGCCTGCAGCCCCTTGGAGAAGAGGTAGGCTGCTAACTTGGGCTCAACGATCTCCAAACATCGATCGACAAGTCGCAGACCCCGGTGGACGCCATCCATGGCTCCTCGGATGTAGCTCGGACATTCACGGAGGATGAACGAATGGAACAAGGCGAAAGCCTCCACTTCACTGCGGGCGGCATAGAGAAACGGAGCGCAGAGTACATTCATTCCCTGCACGTAGATAGCGGATTCATTTGTGATGCCAGGGCTACCAAAAGCGCTGCTGGTGCTGTTGCTGATCACACTCCCGGGAGTGCTTCCCATCGGGGAGGGCTCTTCCGCTATGCTTGGGGGTGTATTGATAAGGAGCTCCATCTCGCGCCGACGACCGGTCGAGAGCCGCGGACGGGCGCGACGCTTGCTCTTCGCATCATGAAGCTTCCACGCAACGGCATTGAGGAGTCGGATCAGACTGGCTTCTGTGACGCGCCGTTTGAAAAGGGGATCGGTGGCTAGGGTGCGGAAAGTATCATTGCGAATCTTAGCATAGGCGGGGGAACGGCCTCGATGGATAAGTGACAGGTATTCGTCGGTCGATACGGGCGGCGTATCGAGGAGAACGAGCCAGAGATAAACTCGGTAGGTAGACTAGCGAGGCACGGGGGGAATTATTAGCGGACATGCTCATTACAAGGTTGACTTGAGTGATCAAGTCACCCATCATTATCGCTAGATCCTACCATGCCATCTGCGTCTGCTTCGACTCGCGTCGAGAGGACAAGATAACGCAGCTCCTCTAGTCCTTCTCGGACGTTCCCATTTTGCGGACCGTCGCGCAAGAGCGACTCGAGCAACGACCGCTTGACTCCAAATCCGGACCCAGTCTTTCTACCGGGTCTTCGGTGCGCGGTGAGTATGGGAGGCTCCCGGGAGGAAGCGTCACTATTAGAACGTGCGCGGCGATGAGTGCTGCGAAGCCGCACGGGGGAATCGAGTTGGGGTCCGGGCGCGGGAAGCTCCTCCGCGCCAGCCGAGAGACGTCCAGATGAAGGAGGTGGAGGTGGATGGGAGGAGAGGATCTGATGGGACTTGATCTTGCGCAAGCCTCGCATAGTCCGGGGTGATGACGGCGACCTGGCCAAAGCAGCGAGAGTTAATTGGGCTTGAGTGGGCCGGGGGGAGGCAGCAGTAGAGGAGGAAGAAGGCGAAAAAGGTGGTACAGAGGAGGTAGGACGTGTAGGAGAGAGCGAAGAAGAAGTAGGCGAAGGCGACATGATTAGGGGGGGGGAGGAAGGTCGATCGGGGAGGGAGAGGAGCAGCAAAAGGAGGAGGAGGGAGAGGAGGATCAGCAAGGACTGTTATTGGAAGTGCAGGCGACACATGAAACCATCTTCCTGGTCAGACTGAACAGACCAGGGAGAGGCTGGGGGAGATGGAGGGGAAGGAGGGGGGAGGGAGAAGAAAGGGAAGGAGTGAAAGAATGCAGGTTTAATTCGAAGTTGAATTTGAAGAGAAGGTAGTAAGTTAAGTGAATAGTGGTGGTGGTGGTGGTGATGTGGAGCTCCCGGGTGTTGTTAAGGAAAGAATGCAAGTAATTTTTCTTAGCAGGAAATAAGTTAGTAGATAGTCAAAAAAGGGAAGAAAAAAACACAAAACAGCAAAGAAGTCCTAGTGAGGAGAGTTTCGAGTTAGCTACTCCATAGTTGAACTACTCATGTAAGTTACTGACAGTCCATCAGTTCAATCAGCGATCAATAATCCGCCAGTTCAGGTTCCATTCTGGACTTGGCGAAATTCGACTTTTGGACTAGTCTTTTTAGTTTCCTGGCACTACTGCGAGTTAGTTGTTCTTTAGTTCAATCCATCCACCACCATCATCGACCTTTGGTTGACTGATTGATTGAACTTGATATTATGTTAATTGCACGAGAAGGCTGGCCTTCGCATGCCAACTCTAATGATCATCTCCTTCGTGCTCTGCCCCCTCCCTTGATTGACAGCTTCTCGTGCCAGCCTGACTCGAGGAAAGAAAACCTAAATTCGGGCCGATGTGGGGACCCTCCGTCTCCATCTTCATCTCCATCTCCATCTCCATCTCCATCACAATCACAATCACAATCACAATCACAATCATAACAACAATCTCAATTTCGCTCTCGTCTCTACACGCAGAATAAATACAAGCACATCGATCACAATCATGTCGTCTACTTTGCAACTGCATGGCTGCCAGAGCCACAATTCAGTTGCAAATCTGATGCTTCGTGTCTCCGTACGCCATGAGCCAAAAAGAAAATGGAAAACAAGAATAAGAAAACTAAATCAATCCGTTAGACATCGCGTCGTGTCGATTGGTTCGTCTCTGTTCCGCCTACAAGCCCACTGACGAATTCTTGGTACCGGAAGACCTCCCCACGTTTACCCCCTCCGGTGCTTCGTGCGCCCTTGGCCCCGAATGCCCGACGGCCCGTGAACCCATTCAGCACGTCTCGGATTTCCCGCTCGGTGAGCGGCCGATCTCCGTCCTCGGGGGCGGTATGCATCAGAGCGTCGCACAGCTCCTCCACGTCGATCTGCCCGCTGTCATCCTCGTCAAAGGCCGCCAGGGCGTTCAAGAGTTCCCGTTGGGCAGATAACGGGGCGAGCAGTTGTGAAAGCGTATTGAGGAAGGTGGGAAAATTGATCGTAGACGCCCCTCCAGGCGGGAAGAATTGCGAAAGTGCAGATGCGTCTTGGCCTTGATTTAAGGGTGCTTGTCAGCCATGCTATGATGAACGAAGATGATTAAGTGCCACTTACCCACGTTCACCAGAACATCAGCCACATCATCCTTGTTGACAAAGCCGTCATTGTCCCGGTCCAGAACTTGAAAAGCCTCGCGGATTTCTCGCAACTGCGCTGGCGAGAGCTGAGCGGCTGCGTCCGAAGATGCTGCCATTATATGGGTGGCCTTAGTAGCCATCATCGTCGGGGAGGTGTTTGCGGCGCTGGCCCCCCGCGTGGGCGACAGAGGCACCTCGCGTGTCAAGCGCGGTTGAGCGACCGGGCTGCGATCTTGATGAGGCGGGGAGGAGCCTTCATCCTCATCTGCGACCGTGTATGATTCCTTGAGCTTGCTGGGAGACGTCACCGGCGTGTATCCGCGACCGGGGGAGCTGCCAGGAGTACTAGGTCGCGCTTGCGGAGGGGAGTTGGATGTGGATGGACGGCGGAAGGGAGATGCTCGAGGAGAGCCAAAGGATAAGGGTGAGGGCCGAAAAGGCGCATTGGAGGTGACCTGGGTCGGTGTCCGATAAGCGGGTGCTTGAGACACTGGGACGTTGGGGTGAGAAGGAACACCTACCATGGCGGGGAATTGACGGACTGGATGAGAGCCAGTCTGGGATGAAGGCGGGAAGGAATCAATTAAGGCTGGATACAAAGTGAGTGACAGCTGGACAGAATGTAAAACAATGAGAAGATAGTTCAAGTTTAGTCAAGTGGTATGTAACTCGAGCTGAGTGCCCGGTGATGCAACAACCTGCCCAGAAAGGGAAAGCACCCCAAACAAACAAGGCCCGGCGGTGAGTCGGCCCGGCACCGATGAGGAGACCCGCGGGGAAATCATGGATTGGCAGGTGGACGATGATACCCCTTTGAGTGTTGCTTTTCCCTCTATAAAATTAAATCTAGTAAGTCCACAATCCGATCAAGATCGCAGCTTGGATTTCCGAAGAGTTGCATTGGGGTTTTTTCGGCGTTCATCCGCAGAAAATACGTATTAGGACTTACCGCGTCGCAAACGCTGTTGCCATAGAGTCGATCGGATCCATTTTTCTTTGGGTTCCCCACGGTGGAGTTTGGCCGTGCATAGAACTACTCTAAAAGGGCTTGTGCTGTGGTAGTTCTGTTTGTCATGGATGAGTACGAAGTTTAAAATTGTCTAGACCGTTGGTGTTTCGTCTTTGCATCCTCTCTGGCTACACTGAAATTACACCCTTCCACGGATGACGGACCATGAGTGAGTTTTCAGATTAAGTATAAACATTACGTGGCTATATGACACAAAGAAGAAAAGGTATACAGAGCCTCGACCGAGTTTCACACCAACCGAGTATGAAGCAAGTGTACGAAGAAAAAGGGAACCCGAGAAGAAAGTGTAAATCCTAGCAATCGCTGTCGTCACCCGTAACCGCATCTTGAAAATAGAAAATGAAAGCAAGCACACAACAAGGAGCTCAGAAGAAAGAAGAGCGCGATGTAAGGGGAACTTATCTAAAGGAGCAAAGAGAGGCGAGATCTGAGATCACTCAACCTGCTTCGTGACAGACCTAGAACGTCAGCAGGGTGGCTAGTCCTATGCTAAACGTGACAAGGCCCCAGGTTGACCACTGCGGCAATGGGACAACCAAGCCAGAGCCTGAGCCAACCTTCTCGGAACCGACAGTAATATTGACATTGGCAAAGTTCTCCCCACAATCAGTGTTGATAGCCTCAGCGGAAGGGATATAAGAATTGACAAGTGGCTGGCCGTCAACCTCAGCCCAGGTGGCAAAAAGAGCCAGAGTAGCTTGAAGGCATTTATTGCAGGTTGGCGAGGGGGAGGCGGAGATAATGCTTCCATAAGGAAGGAAATAAACATCGTAATCGGCGGAATTGGTGGTGTTACTGATCGCATCTACGAAACAGTAATTCTTGGTCGAAGGTGATTGCAGACATGTAGCACGATATAGTGGCTCATATGTAATCATGTCAGTGTACGCATTAGTGACCAGGGGGTTGCCGGCGGAGTAATCCTTGCCGCAAACATCCTCCTTGAGCAACTCGACTGCGAGCGCAGAGAAAATGGACGCGCAATCGGTGACATTCGAGGCACACGCGGTGTCAAGGAGTTCAGAGGTCAGCGTAGCCGATGTGAGAACATGGAAGAAGGAGCTGGAATCACGCAGCAACATGGAGACGGCATGACAGGAAGTGATGGTTGAATTGGAGAGGAAAGACGTGAAGAATTTAGGGCACGCAGTGGTTGTGAAGTTGTTCGAGAGGCTAGTATCGAAAGCAGTTGGGAAAGAGTCCGAATTGGAAGACGCTCGGGTTGAGAGGTGAGATTTGTCTTGCTGCGGAATGGCAGAGTCCTCGTCTGCAACGAGAATTGAGAGACCGACGATATCTTTGGGGTTGACAATAACAATCTCTCGCCTGGGATGGTGTATTTGTCCGGCAGAATCTCCCCGAAGTAACATATCATGGATATTCACCCCGCTAGCAGACGCCATGCTTGAATCTGGTGCTAATGCTCGAGGATCTTTCGAAAGGAGTGGAACAGCTGCTAAGACCGTCGGGATGGTAACGAAACTCCATAGAAGAGTTGAGAGAAGTAGCATCAGCCGTGAACGACCAAGCTGCAGATAACCGCGCCGTTGAGACCATTGGCCCAATTGAAATTGAAGATCCATATTATATTATATGAGGAAGCGAGCGACGCAGCCCTAAACGGGCCCCCGGGTTTGGGGAGTGGTATTGCAATTGACTGGTGCAAGAACGTGAGATATAGTCGAGTCGAACCAGGAAACTGAGTAAGGAACGTGTGATGGTCATCGAGAGAACATGGTCTTATCCTCTGAGATGGCTGGGCGAGGTCCAAGTATAGAGACGCACTGGGGGCGCGGAGCAAGGAGGAAGTCAGTGGTTTGCCGGGAAGTATGCAGAGAGCGGCAGGGAGGTGATTTCTTTAAACCATTCTGGTGTAACCCCCGGAGTTGGACTGATGCCCTTGGGCGTGAGCACGATGGCAAAAGCCCGAAGTGAAAGAGAGACAGGGAAAAAAAACAAAAGGAAAGGATGGGGATGGGTCAAAGGTAGCCAGGGGTGTGTGTGTGTGGACTGTGTGCGTGTGGCTGCCGCGACGAGACGAGACGGCGTGCCTGGCATTGAAGCCACCATCACCGGGACGGGTTGAAGGGCTTTTGCAGCGTGCAGATACCGTCTTTCCTGCAGTGAGAGAGTCGGATTCCCAAGAACCAAGAGACAAGAGAAGTGTCTGGACCGGTCGAGGGTTATTCTTAGCTGCGGGTCTCATTGGACCGTGCCGAGTCAGTGCGACGGCATGGACTTTAAGAAATGGTCTGACAGAAGATCAAGAGCCGACAACACTACTATTGAGGATTCAGCATCTCCTTTCTAGTCGGAAAGGGGTTGTCCATGAGCAGAAATAAGCATCCAAGAATGTGCACCTCATGTTCATCCTGACTTCTGCTGACTGCATGGGTCTTGGGAAGGAGGGGGGGCCGAAGTCTGCTTGTCTGAAGTCATCTTCATGTGTGAGGAATTTTTATGACTTCTAATAAAGCTCAAGGGAACAGCACAGACCGGTCTGCCAAAGAAAGAGTATGTACAGATTATGTGGTCATAAGGAACGTCTGTCAGAGCTCGGGGTTCGTTTCCAAGGTTAACTGGAAATGAAGGGGAAAGAGTACGCCGCGGAGTAGATAGTCTAGAGACTAAGAGACTAAGAGACTAAGATGAAAGGCGGCGGGCAAGATTAGCCGTGGTTGGCACGGGCTACAGGTCGGCCTCAGGAACCAATCGCTGAGGACGGCAATGGGGCTCCGCCGCTCGCCTATCGCCCGACCCAGTTCCAGAGCGGATCTCTTCCACTGCATGATTGATCATTGATATATCTCCATCATCGAAACTTGAACCCACCATCCCTTCCCCTCCCCCTCCCTTCTGAACCCCCTTTCCCCTCCCCTCCTCCACCAGTTCCTCCTTCATTTCATCATGGTCGCTGATCTCTTTGTTCCCGAAACACGGGTCCTCGCGGTAGCCAGCCATGTACGTGATGCTCATCTCTCATCTTTTTCCACAGACCCTCAAATAGTCAGCTGACCTAGTCGGACTAGGTCGTCTACGGGTATGTGTCATAACATCGTGGGGAACGACAGATGATGTCTTCTACCACATTCATCTCTCCCCCGCATATACAAACGATCACACTATTCTCTTCTTCCGACTCAAGGCTAATTGAACAGATATGTCGGCAATAAAATGGCCAGTGTGGTCATGCAGCTACTGGGTTGTGATGTTGCCGCGCTGAATACAGTGCACTTCAGTCAGTTGTTACGATCGTCGTATCAAATCATCCAGGCACAGTGTTGACCACCTTGCCAGGCAACCACACGGGCTACAGGCAATTCAAAGGGACAAGAGCAACGGCTGAAGAGATCTCCGCGCTCTACGAGGGCCTGACCCAAAGCCACCTTACTGACTTCGATGTTATGCTGTCTGGCTACGCCCCCAGCGCTGCCGCAGTGGAGGCTGTTGGGGCTATAGGGATGGATCTTCAGCGCAAAGCAGAGAAGAAACCAGGTTCATTCTTCTGGGGTGAGCTAGTTCATTTAATTGACCTTGACGAAATCATCTAATTGGTCGCAGTCCTGGACCCGGTCATGGGCGATCAAGGCCGACTCTATGTTAACAACGATGTCGTCCCCGCATACAAGGAGATGATTCATCACGCAGACTTGATCCTACCGAATCAATTCGAGGCCGAGTAAGATTTCTCTATGCCCAGTTCCGTTATCCGAGCAGTCACCTAATGGTCATGCACAGAGTCCTATCCGGAGTCAAAATCACCTCTCTCAGCACCCTCGCAGAAGCCATCACCGCTATTCACGCCACCTACAAGGTTCCCCACGTTATCATCACATCCGTCCAGATTTCCAACCTCTCAGATTCATCATCCGCATCATCCACTACGTCTTTCGCAAACACGCTCACCGTGATCGGCTCCACCACTCGCTCTGATGGCTCCCCGCGTCTGTTCCGCGTCGACGTTCCCGCACTCGACTGTTATTTCAGCGGGACCGGGGACATGTTCGCAGCCCTGACGGTGGCTCGGCTCCGTGAGGCCGTCTTTGCCGCCGACCCCGCCCTCCGCACCACCAAATCCTGGGTCTCCCCAGATGACGTCCCCGCCACAGCATTACCATTGGCACAGTCCACCGTCAAGGTTCTAGCCAGCATGCACTGTATTCTCGAGAAAACCATGGAAGCGCGTAACACTGAGCTTCAAGCAACAGTTGTCTCCAACGGGGAGGTGCTTAGTGAAGAAGAGAGCAAGAAACAAGAGCACCTACGCGAGAGCAAAGCCGCAGAGGTGCGAGTAGTGCGACACGTCCAATTCCTGCGCGAGCCGACGGTGGAATTCCTGGCGCAGGAATGGAGCAAAGACGATCTGCCAGCACAATTCCGGTGAACACTTTTTTCTGTAATTCAGTCATGGGGTCTGCATAGATCGAGCATAGATGTTGTTTAGCATGGTCAGGGCTTGGTTTTTGAGGTCTGTAGACAACAGACTTTCATTCAAGGATTAGATGATAAGGAGAGTATGAGGTATAGAACGTGGGCTGTATAATAACAATGTTTCAAGTTCAAATGCATTTCATGAGGTATACGCAATCGACACGGTCTAATCTTTTAACCCCACCCCCACACACCCCCAAAAAAAACTCCCAAAGCGTTTTGCCTCCCTGCTTCTGCCCCCAAATATTGCCAGGCATATATAGAACGATATTTTGATCTTCCCAAAATCATCATCATCACATCAATTCATATTAATAATTCTTTTTAGTTGGTACCGGTACTACCGAAACCACCAGCTCCACGAACACTCTCCTCCAACTTCTCCACGACAGTCACCTCAGGCGTGTAGATCTGGCACAAGAAAAGAAGCAAGCGTTAGCCAATTTCCTCGAACTGTCCTGTCCCCCTTGAAGGTTTACTCACCCGCTCCAAAACCAACTGCGCCACACGATCACCCTCCTTGATCTCGAAATCCACATCGGAGAAGTTGAACAACAACACCTTGACCTCGCCGCGGTAGTCGGCATCAATGACGCCCGCACCGGTGTCGATGAAGTGCTTCGAGGCGAGACCACTGCGAGGAGCGATACGGCCGTCTGTAGCGTGACCGAGTTCTGGTTAGCTCTGTGTTCGTTACGAATTATGGAACAAACCGCTCGGCTGAGCTAGATCTGGTGGTGGTGGTGGTAACACGTACAGGTTCCCTCGGGCACAGCGATGGCGATTCCCGTGTCGACGAGGGCCTTGCCCTTGGAGGGGATGATGGTGTCCTTGGCGCTGTAGAGGTCGTAGCCGGCGGCGAAGGCGGAGCCGCGAGTCGGGGCGCGACCCGAGGGGGTGAGCTTCTGGACGAGGAGGGCGGGGAGAGGGTTAGCGGTGGAGCCCATTTTGGATGTTTGCTGGGGTTGTTCTTCGGTGGTGTTGGGTTTCGTGCGTTTGGCGAGGGGAGAGGAGGGAGCGGAGGGAGGTTCGTGGGCCGCCGCGGTGGTAGTTGTGTTGGTGGTTTCGGCGGGGGGAGGAGGGGTGGTCTCCTTGGTCATTCTCTTGTGAACTGGCTTAAGGGATTGTGGAAACGATGTTGAAAAGAGATGCGTAATATATAAGTCGCTTCTTCTATATCTTCTGTGAGGAAGAAGAGGGGAAGGAAGAAGAAATGCGGTGTGTCGAGGCGGACGCTGAAATGCGAGATTGAGGAGAGCTTTCATGGTGGGACGCGTCTGGCGGTCAACACGCGACGAGCGCGTCAAGTGGTTTTGCTGCTTGCATTTGCTCTGGCTGACTGCTGGGTCGGTTTGCATTGTTTGATTTGTATGACTAAGAACAGGGTACGTAACTAACTACATTAGTTCCCGCGGCTGTATTCCCCCCTCCTCCCCCCAAAGGTGGTTAACAGCCGACGCCCCGCAAATTAACCCCTATGGAATGCGGTGCTTAGCCTCGGTTGAGCCTGCCGTGTACCTGTGCCTTAATAACCACCTCTGACTGCCCGCCCTTGCAACCATGATACACGTTCCTAACTCACAGCTACCCCTTGTCTCGAACTACAGAGGCATAAAATCGAGGTAATCTTACCCGCTATCGCAATCTCATTATCCGAATAGCTCGTCGCGCCATGGCTGGAGCCGTGCGGCAGCCGATTGATATTCCCTCCTTGGAACGCTATCTCGATCAGAATGTCCCAGAGATTAAGACACCGGTAGATGTGAAGCAGGTAGCTTATCTATTGACTAGCATTTCATCTTGGGCCATCAAGCAGATCACTAATTCCGAGATCAGTTCGGTTTCGGACAATCAAATCCGACTTACCAGCTCACAACCGCCGACGGCAGCAAGTATGTCTTGCGGAAAAAGCCGCCAGGCAAGCTGCTCTCCAAGACGGCGCACAAAGTCGAGCGTGAATACAAGATCATTCATGCGCTGGAACAAACAGATGTCCCTGTGCCCAAGGCATACTGTCTCTGCGAAGATAGCGATGTGATAGGCACGCCTTTCTACATCATGGAGTTTCTTGATGGCCGCCACTTTACTGACCCTGCTATGCCCGGCGTCGACCCTGCCGAAAGGACTGCACTGTAGGTCATTGCCTTGTTATTTGTCGATTTTGATTTTGCAGGGTTCCTCTCCTTTGGCAAAGACGACCCTCGAGCTAAGATGATATAGATGGCAGGATGCGGTTCGGACACTAGCCAAATTCCATCGAGTCGTTCCCAAGCTGGTTGGCCTGGAAAGCTTCGGAAGACCGTCGGGCTACTATGATCGTCAAATCGCCACATTCACTGCAGTATCTCGCGCTCAAGCCCAAGCGGTGGATGTGGAAACCAAGGAAACGGTCGGCGAGCTGCCTCATTTCATGGACATGGTGCGGTTCTTCTCCGATAAGGCCACCCAGCCTCAGGATCGGGGCACGCTCGTGCACGGCGATTATAAGATTGATAATATGATTTTCCATAAATCCGAGCCTCGTGTCATCGGCATCCTGGATTGGGAGATGGCCACGGTGGGTCATCCGCTGTCAGACTTCTGTAATCTGACTAGCCCATACTTCTTGGAAGGCACAGATCATAAGACAGACCAGTTCCAGCCCAACGCGGTTCCTGGCTTGGCCACACGAGCCGATTGTATCCAATGGTACCAAGAGGTCTCTGGCTATGACCCCACGCCCGACATCCCATGGGGGGATGCATTCTTCTCATGGCGAAGTTCGGTCATCATGCAGGGTATCAAGGCGCGGTTTGCTCTTCGGCAGGCCAGTAGTGCTCGCGCGGTGGAGTATGCCAGGAACACCAATCCATTTGCGCTGAAGGCGTGGGAGCGAGTCAAACAGGTGCAAGAACAACTGCGGCAACGGGCCAAACTATAAACTTATCAAATGCGGCCGTATGACAGTCTCCGAACGCTTCATTGGGGGTCCTTTTTGGGGAAAGTATTGAAGGAAGGAAGGACGAGGAAGAGGCGCATCATTATAAACCGACTTACTGTGAAGATATGTCCTTGTGTAATACACGAACTGCAAATCCATGTTGGAGAACTCTCTCAAGTAAGGTGACTCGCCGGACTCGTTGGTCTCATTCATCAAGACATAACAACGATTTCTCGAAGAAGGATGAACGAACTCGTATGCGAAATGAATTTGCACGCTTAGAAGAGCATAAAAAAAAGAAAACTAACAACAGTGTCAGTGCGTCAATCAGACTGCAAGCCAGTGCCAACGAACAGGGATGAGCCGCAGTAGTCTGAAAGTGCACGGTTCGAAACTTATTTTTCTTTTCTATTTTTTTGTTCTGTCCTTATGGGAGAAATCATGGAACCCTCCGAGGTCCGTCGACGGGCTAGTCAGATAGTGAGTTAGATTAGTCTAACTGTAGGAAATAATAGGGAGTAAACCAGAGAGTGTGTGTTAGGCTCAGTTGGAGGCGGATGACGCCGGATTTCCTCGTATATGCGCTTAGCAAGGAACAAACCCGGGCCAGCACAAGTGTACAGTACATCCACACTACGCAGTCTGCGCAGTACAGTACATACGATACGCCTTTGCAAGTTCCGAAGAGTCAGCACAATCCGGCACCAACGCATCTCTCCCCTGTTGAGGCAATTAATTGGGTGCGGCTCCCCCTTGCCCCGGCTCCAGGGCTACTTACCACTACTCTTAGGGTCTAAGTATGTACGTCCTATTAGCCTCAGCTTAAGTCCCGCCCCCGACCAGCCTCAAGGAAGCGTCAAATATGTACGGATATTTGATGCCGTGGTACTACTGCTGACTTTTCAGTCTTGAGAAAAGGGAGGGGTCTATAATCGATCAATTTAATCGTAATATATGTTTAGTACTTTAACAATTATGTATTGCGTCGCTTAGCAGTATAGCCTCTCGTTCAGGTCGGAGCTACCGCTACCTCTACGTACTGTACCTTTGCTCTTTTTTTCTTCTTCTTCTTCTTCTTCTTCTCACTGTGTGGTCCAAGCTCGGGGAGGACCTCGGCAGGATTCACATCCCGAACAGTTGTCAGTGGGAAAAAAAAGTAAAGAAACGGGAGGGCGCAATTGGAATCAACTAAGCCATACGGTCCACAGGCTCACTGTAGTTGCATGAATCAAGTACTTTTCCCATCCGCTTTCCTTCCCCGGTGTGGAATCGAATCTCCTAGGAGAAATCACACAACACAGAGAATCATAAAAGCCAAGGGAAGAGACTCAGGGTAATAGTAAGCAGATCTGACATACATACATGCATACACATACATATTGGGTCGTAGCGTCGCTCTATGAATGGGAACTATCTATCCTTAGCTGCGTTTGGAAACAAACCCCGCTCTAGTAACTTACTATGCTCCATGTAAGAACTAAGCATGAGGGAAAGAGTTAGCACCTCCAATTCCCACCCACTACCCCTCGGTGTGAAGACTTGAAGGCCCCATGTTCCCATTAATAGCGCATCAATAGCGACAAATCAAGTCAGGTCAATTCGCTGGGTACAGAGACATAGGAATTCAGTTTCCGGGACTACTAACCCATACACATTCGGTGTTCCGCTCAGCAGCAACGAGAACCTCAGACATGAATGAATGAATGGACGTGCCCGACTTTCGCTTCTTGCTGTTTACGGTAACCAAGTGACTGCACTAAACTACTAGTAGGTACGACAGTGTATCAGCTTCTCCCCGAAGGATTCGGGAAGTCTAAATCTTAGGGCAAGGGAAGGAGGTTGTCCGAAGGAATCTGGCATACGTACAGTATAAGTTAATAGGTGGTTTGATTAGTTGATTACCTAACGACTTTACTCCATACCGTGAGTAAACACGGGATCTCATTCCTTTGACTAGCTTGGCTAGGGCTAGTTGGCTAGTTTTTAGTAGCCGGATAGTACGGAGTATCTTAAAGAGGTTCAACCGGGAAGAGAAGATGGCAATTCGCCCGCCCTTCCATTGATCGAACATTCCTCCAATTCCGATACTTTTCTAGCACCCTTCTTGCCGTCTTGGTGTCGATCAGATTGGGTCATGCAGACGAAAGAAGGGGGTGGTTGAAGAGTGAAGTGGCACATGGCACTCTGTACAGTAAACGGTGGGGCTGTCCTCGGTGTTTAATGTTTGATGCTGCAGTGATGCGGGCAGTTATCAAAATTTGGAGGAAATGGTATGATTGACTGTACATATGTAAGTCGAACACTTTTTGTGGCGTGTGTGGGGGTATGCTTATTATGTGAATTCTTTCTTTGCAATTTTCTTTGTTTGTGTGCTGCTTACTCTGTACTGTAATAATAATGCTATTAAGTAGGGTAAGTTTATGTATGGGCCACCCACACAACATAGTAGCCGGGGATTATAAGTACCGTCGACGATCCATCCGCGAATTGGTGAACTGAACCGTCAGTTTGCTTCGGCGCGGGCCGCCTCTAGTCCCTATCCGGTCGCTTCTATCGGATGACATGTCGCATTGCACAACCTTCTTCTCGTCCTCGTTGTGCGGGTGGCTCTGTGGCTTCTTTATTTTCTCTGGATTTTACCTACTCCTCTTCTTGCTGCGGGTAGTGGAAGAGGAGTTGAAAGGGGATGTCCAGGGCCCTTCAATCGGGCTATTTCTTTGCGTCTTCTCCCCTTGTTCTCGACGACAACAACTGGTCCCTCGCGGTTTCCGTCGTGCAGAGTAACCCAGCTGGACTTGATCTGCACCCATATGATTGTTATTTCCTCAAAAGTCGTGACTCGAGTACGATAGCTTTGGCTCAGGGGATTGGGTGTCTAAGTTGACACGATGGAGAGAATTTTTATAACTCGTAGCTTTTGGGAGGTGGTACTCGGATGTGAGTAGTAAGTCTTACAGTGCGATGGTGGTCGAGGCTCCTGACTGGGGCAGCTGGGCAAGATGGTTGTCCAGGGCAGAAGACGGGTGC